TTTCAAGGAAAATGAATTGTTCACAAACCTTTTTCAAAATACAACACAAACAGTGGCATAGCTAGGGTGGGGCAAAGGGGGCCATCTGTCCCCGGGTGCAGCATTCAAGGGGCGCCAAATTGATGCTACAAAACTTTTCATGGTTTTTCCCATATGTAACGTGTATACAAGCCAGTTTCCCTTAGAAAGTCCTCCACAAAGGCACCCCCCCCTTAGGCAGATATCTCTAGTGTGCTTTGCCATAATTAAGTAAACCAAACCAAACCAAACCTCATGGTTTTGTGAATCACTTATTGCTTACTTTATGGTTCGGGTTTGTTGAATTTAAATTTTTTAAAATTTTTATTATAGATCCTACTCGATGAAAAAGTTATATATACAACTGTCAAATACAACAAATCCGAAGTCTTCACAGTAAAAAAAGTGAGAGAAATTGGAAAATGGGCTGTGGCTAGAGAATTTCAAGTTGATAAGTCATGTAATGGGCGGTGGAAGTCTGAACAAGAAGAATAAGAGAAAATGCCTAAGAATAAAAAAGGTTTTTTTTGGACTGGCATCAAAGCCTGGCCTGTTTTGGAAGATAATTTATGGAAATGGAAAATAGAGCAGAGAAAAAAAGGGTTATTAGTGTCAACAGTTTAGAATTCTCCTTCAAGCGTAAACTAACTCTCAACAAAATTAACATTAAAAGCTCTGTTGGAGGACCTAATTGGTTTTCAGGTTCACGAAATGAAAGTAATTATCCATCAGAAACAAAATATCAGTTCGTCAGAAGCTTCTTATGGACTGGATTGATAAAAAAATAGCTTTTTTGCAGTACACAGCTAAAAAAAAATTAAAGAACAAAATTTGAATAGAGGGCAAATAATTAGTATGGATGAAGTGCCCATTACTTCTGAATACTCTCCAAGCAGAACTGATCATTCAATAGGTAAAAACACTCTGTGTTAAAAATTGGGATAAAAAACTTCTTTTACTTGCATTTTGGGTTCCACTGCCAATGAAGAAAAGTTTAAACCTTCGATAATTTTTAAAAGAAATACAGTTCAAAACCAAATGTCCCTTAAGGCATTATTTTTGCATTGTGCCAATGCAAAAGGATAGATGTGTGAAGAAGTGAGACTTTTTTTTTTTTACTTAGATAAATCTATCGAAAAGGAAAAGTGCTTTTTCCAACCTTGGCAACTCATCATTCTGGATTCAATGCAATACCATTTAGTGAATATGATCAAATCTGAAGTAATAAAAACTTAGCACCAGTGTCACTGAGACACTAAGTGGGTTTACAAAAATTTTACAGCCACTAGGTCTCATTAGCAATAGAAATTTCAAGCACAAACTATGAAAGCGGTGGGAGGAATGTATGCAAAGCAAACTTCATTCCACCACAAATTCCCAACGGGTAAGAAAAACTTTGCATGAGGACGTTGCTTGCTCAGTCAATGAAACATGGCAATCAGCCCGAGTTGATATGATCATATCAGCTTTCATTAAATGGAAAATCATTGAAAAAGAAGATGCAAATCAAAATAGTGACATCGAAAGAGGTTATTTAGAACAGAATGATAGAAGTGACCCTGACGATCATTTGCAAAGTTTCTTTAATTCTGACACTGATGAGTAAGATTTTGAATATTTTGTATAAATAAATGCAGTTTAATTACAAAATTTTGTTTAATTATCTAATTTATTTATATTATTTTTTATAATATGGCAATATATGTTAATAAAAAAGTTTACTGAACACTTCAAAGTTATGTCTATTAGAAATCAGCAGAGTTTGTCTTTCACAAATTAAAGATAAGATGCCCATTTATGATTATTATTATTTTGTTTATTTCTATGTTAGCTTTATAGTTATTTTGCACATGTTGTAAAATGTTATTAGTGATGATTACACCAATATGGAACCGAATAAATGAATATTAAGAGCCATGTTTCAGAATTTGTTGCTGCAGCATATGTGGGGATATGACTCATTAGATGAACTTTAATTTTTTTTAGTCAATTATAATGTGTGCGGCATATATGCCAGGGCGATCAAAATTATTGTGCTTTTGAGACAGCTTAAATGGAAACGAGAAGACTAAAGTCTCTTACATTAATTTTCATCAGTAGTAAACCAAAATTACATAGAACATAAATACTGAAATTATATGTGACACTCAGTGTCAAGCTCAAATTGTTTTTCATGATCCATGCCGATACTGCAATTCATACAGAATTTCAATTTTATTATTAAATGAATTGCAAAAAAAATTCTGTTTACCATAGATAATAATCTTTCATTAAAGAATCTTCATTATTATCAACTTTTGTATTAGTTAATAAATTACGCTGATTTTCTACATGAATTTTTTCTCTTCATTCCACAGTTAAAATTCATAGCCTATTCAAATTTTAATTTGGGACAGAATCCCCCCCCCCCGGGAATCTCTGAAATGTTCGGACTAGCTCCATTGCCTAATTGCATAACCATGTTATTCTCCATTAAAGAATATTAAACTTACTGTTCCAAAGAAAATAAAAGAAGCCTACTACAGCTTAATTATCAATTTCTCAACATTGAATTTAGACTTTTATGCTTGAAAATTCATTCTGAAATGACATTCCCTTGTAGGAGGGGAGGTTCACATTTTCTGAAATCTTACATGATAATTTAAAATTTAAATCTATATATATGTAAAATATAAAAAAATATGATGGCTTTGCTCTATGCGAGCAGGCAACCTCTGATTAACTTTTCGCAATTTCAGGATCTTTACCCTAGACCAGTACTTTTGAGAACATTCAGGCATGTTATGTAACCACTGCTATAAATGAAGAGCTCGCGGCATTTTTCATCAGACCGCTTTCTCCCTCTACAGCTGTTAATACATCTGCTGCCGCTCTTCCTACCTGCTTCCCTTTGTTTGAACAATATATCACAGTAAATCTAAATTTAATACTATTTACAAATTACTATCGCATATGCAATCTTGGAAAATCAAAAGGAATAATGATCTTTCATTTTAAGTGAATAAAGTTACGGAGTTTTAAATTAAAATTCTTCTGTGTCTTCAATTCAGATGTCTTCCCACTCCACAATGATCACACATGGACACTGATGTGACCAGATTGCCAAGCTTCATTCATGTGCGACTGCCAAAATATGACATACATATATATATGTAATACATTATTTCTTCATCTTAAATGATTAACTTTAGTCAAAAATAAAATTTAAAAAAAAAAGTTAATTTTTCAGAAATACAAAGACTGTTGCTTTCATTTATTATTTTTTAGGAAAAACATATGATAGGCAAGAATACTCTAAATATCAAGGCTAGAGAAATAAGCAACACATGATGGGGGGGGGGAATCTGTTATCCTATCATTAAAACTGAAGTTGTAGGGTCTCTGACAGGTCCTATTTACTTTCTATTATATGTGAACGACATACCACACACCCCATACACTACTCTAGCCATGTATGCTGACGACACGGTGATCCTAGCAAAAAATACATCCCTAAACCCCGTAGCACAAGCATTACAAATACACATACACACACTTGAAGCCTGGCTTAAAAAATGGAAGATACAGATAAATATGGATAAGTCAGTTGCAGTATTATTCACAAGGAAAAGAAAGATCAATCAATGTATTAAAATGTATGATACAGTCATTCCGTGGGCTTCGCAAGTAAAATACCTATGTGTTATGTTGGATAGGATCTTAACATGGAGGCCTCACACTACACAAGTAATTAATAAATTCCAAGCTGCTAAACAAAAACTTGCCCCCTTAATTTCTTGGAACTCAGTTTTATCTTTAGACAATAAATTGCTCCTTTACAAAGCAATGTTGTGTTCCATTATAATATATGCCTGTCTTGTTTGGGGCTTTGCCAGTACAGTACACATGAATAAACTGCAAGTTTTGCAGAATGTTACTCTTCGTCAGATAACCAAGAGTCACTAGTTTATCAGGAATATAGATATTCAAAATGAACTTAAAGTTTCAGAAATTAAAAAGTTTATGACTAAAATTGCCAAAAAATTCTTTAAGAACATAGATAAGGTTGAAAATGAAAGTATTCCATCAATTAACTATGATTATAATGACATTAACAATGCCAGAAGACCAGGAGCACTGTTAAGGGCATTAAACTGATGTTTATGAAAAACTTGACTTTTACTTTATTTAGCATACTCAGGAAATATATCCTCATAATATACCTTACAGCTTTCATTTTTGAACAGTAATTGTGTTTATTATTAATTATGTTTTAAATTTAATTCTCTTGCTTAGAAACAATTGTAATTCCTATAAGTAGATTATCATGTGACATAGTAAATCATTCCCATCTTTTTGGCTCTACCAACCCTCTAAAAGTATGGCTCTGAACCCTGCCCCCCCTCCTATGCCTGCCAATAGCGTATGCACCACACTTTCTCTTCCCACTTAGCACTCCCACCACGTGAATCCAGCTCAGTTAGACAGAAGACACCGAAGACAGAGGTTCGCGCTTTAGACAGCAAAGATGGAACTGACATTTCGAAGTTGAAATGAATTGTTTCCTCAGCACCTAGCTGCAGCTATTAATCGACCTGTTTCAAGCACCATCTATGATTATTCCAATGCCGAAATTGCCTCATTTTCGATTAAATCTGCGATAAATTGCTCTTCTAACTTCTACAGCTCATCGCTATAATTGCATCAAGATTTACATGCCAATTATTGCTATCTACAATCCTCATTATTTAATTCTAGGACTGTAATATTCAATTTTTTAAGACTTTTTGATATACCATGCAAATTTAAAGATATGCCCACCATCTTAGGTAGCTAAACACAGGGTAGGAAAGTGTTCCAGGAACCTGACTGCGTGACTTCATCACTTAAGATAAACTGAAGTTGTTATAACAACTTGAATTGTAAATACAGGCTCTTGATATAATATCAAGATTTCATAATTTGCATTTCTTATGATGAGAAAAATACAAACACATAATTACCAAGTCTGAAAAATCATTTTGTCCAATATCTAACCTACTGAGCTCAGTAAGTCTTGCCATGGATTTTGGAAGAAGCTTTAGGTGGTTTTCTCTTAATTCAAGAATTTTTAGGCGGGATAACCTAAGGAAATATTATTATTATCAAATATTCAATCATAACAATTCCTGTGCATTTAACAGTTGTAAAATATTTACACAAACATTTATACATATATTATTCAAAACTTCAAATCTGTTTCCCTTAAACATATAATACATTTTATTACTTCAATATACAATACATACTATTAAGTTATGACACATACATATAACCCAGATAGCCCTGTTATTTATAATATTTAAAGGAAAAAATAAACACTATACACAAATCAAAAATAAAAATTATTTCATGAGCAAAAAAGTAAGATAGAATTAATTTCAACATTATTGTTATCTCATGTTGTAATAAACTGAAGTCTTAAAGAAAAGGTAGTTTTTAGATGTTCAACATTTATCCTCAACTAAAACTTGACAATTTCTAAAGGAGTTAGCAAATACTCTTCAAGAAATTTGCTCAAATCCTTATATTGCTGAATTGTACATCAGTCTAAGTAATTCATTTATGTTCTAACTCCCTCCTAATAAAATTTTGTATGAAAATAATTAAATTTTATTTTTTATTCACTAGCTAAAACTTAAAAAATTATTCCCAAATGAATTTATAAACTAAGAAAGGATAAATCTCCCCAATAAATGAATTTAAAAGACAAATTTCTATACTCTTCTGTTATCAGGACATGAGTAATCCAGTCTTGATAACAAAACAGTATCCAAATTTCATTAAAGAATAGTTTGTTAGCACTTTTCTAACTCCTATTTATTAATAGCCAAGAAAAAGTTTTTGTATCTAAGCACATACATTCCAAATATGATTTGAAATTATTGTATACTTCCATTTCAATAAATTTCTTCTTATTATAATTCAGCTTTCAAAGATTTAAAAAATTATTTGCATCACTATCTAGTTTAACTTTCCTTGTGCTTTTAATATTACATGTATATAACACACAAATATGTGTGTGAGAGATGAAAGTGACAATCTCTCAACACTAAGCAATACAATAAAATGATGCATTTAATGTTTCCGAATATGAAAAAGAATATTGTGCATTAGCTAACCACTGTTGAACAGGGCGGGGGGGGGGGGAATGCAATGGAACATTTTATGGGAACACTTTAAATAAATTATACTTTGTCTCAAAACACACTTTCCTGAGGAACAGCCAACAATCAACTGTACTCAAATATCCTGCTCAAATGTCATACATTAACCTTTACATCAGAACTAATTTCTGACTCAAAACAGGACTGATGTCTTCCCAAAGTTTAAACGTAAAATCTACTTTTGCATGGAAAAAATAGCTGTCAGGCAAAAGACCAGTTTCCCAAATTCGATTCCCAGTTTCACTGGTGTAAGAATTTTTTACAATAGATTAAATGAGTTTACAAAACTTTGTTGAAAGAGAGTACATGCTAACAGTGCATGGAATTTTATCCTACTCAGTAAAAAAACTGGTTTGTGTAGCTCCAGGATTCATTTCAGAGAAAAAAATACTAATGGAGTGGTTACATACATAGCCCAAGGTCATACTATCTTCTGTACATAAGTATCTTTCCCTCTAACAATATTACAAATATTACCACCATCAGAAAACTTCTAAAATGGCTTTAAAGTTCTATAAGTGCTGAAACTATGCAACACTAAAATGTTAAGAAGCTAATATCATGAGATGATTCAGATTCAAGATAAACTAGGACAATAAAGGAATTAAATGAAATTATAACTAACAAGATAGTATCATCTAAATTCTCTTTTATCAAATTATATCTTATTATTTTAGCAAATCCATCATAACATAATACGTACATCTAAAATAGATAAGATGATCTTTTAAAGAATTTAAAATAGCATATATAAACATTAACAAAAACAGGAGTGATATGATTTTACCATGAACAATCTCTTTGACAATAATAATGATTATGGAAAATAAATGTATTTATATTACAGTGGAAAAGAAAAACTTAAGTTGTGACATAATTATGTTATTTCAATAATTTTATTCAAACTCCTACTTTCTAATTATTCGATTTGCTTCCTATTCAGCAAATATTCTACATGAACTTCATCTTTGAACACCACTGAATACCAGTTTGTCTCACTAACAATTTATTATATATATATATATATATATATATATAATATATATCTAAAGAGAGAGAGAGAGAGAAGAAGATTTAATTAAAAGATAATAATACAAATAGTTAAATGATAAATACCTTCCAAAATTTGCTGGGAGATATTCCAAAAATGTATCATTTAGATAAAGTTCTTGTAGATTGATGAGATATGTGAATCCTTCAGGAAGCCTTTAGAAAAGAAAATATTGCAAATATTTACTAAATTTCATAACATTAAGCCAAAATAATCTTATATTGAAATATGATATGTCCTACACATTTAATACCAAGATGTATACAGATAGACTAGAACATATATATGTATTAATGGGCAAAGCAAATTTAAAAGCAATTTAAAAGACTCACTTTCCTAAAGGATTTACACTAGCATCAACAACTGTAAGGCACTTGCATCCTTTTATATTTTCTGGAATTTCTAAAACACCTAGAAATGAGATAACTAGTTTTATCACTTAGAATTTAAAAAATAATAATCACTTTGAACAAGTGGCAAAAATTAAAATTTTTATATGAAATACAGTAAGTGCCTCTTAATTGTGACTGCATTTGTCCACAGCTATTTTGATACCATTAACTGAATTCAACATTTAATACATTCAACAATGAGGAAAAATGTCCTTCAAAACAGCAACAGAATTTAACGAACTTAATATCAAAATATTCAGAAACATGTAAATATTTTGACAGCATTTTAATTAGGAAAATGCAACAGTTTATTTATGAATTTCTTAAAATGTTTTTAATGCAAAAGTTCATTTAAGAACAGTTTTAACATTTCTGGAAATTATTTGACCAATAATGTTTCCTAATCTTAATATTCAGAAGGCACTTTTTATAAAAGAGAACCTGCCAGTTTAAAATTTAAAAAAAAAAAAAAAAAAAAAAAAAAAAAAAAAAAAAAACTTTAGTTAGTTGTTTAGGTTTTTAAGGGAAAGGCAAAAAATTCAGCAGAATTCCTTTAGCTCCTGAAAAAGAAAAATTTACAACTGATTGCCCTTAAAATCGAAAGAGTGATTTAAAATCTACATTTATAAGACTAGCATCAGGGGCATAGCTAGAGGGGGGAAAGGGGGGCATCTGTCCCCGGGCGCAGAATCCAAGGGGCGCCAAACTGATGTTACGACATTTTAGAATTAAATGTTTTCCACCCTTGGCAACCAGTAGGGGGTGCGAAATCTTCAGTTGTCCCTGGGCACTGAAAACCCTAGCTACGACTCTGACTAGCATACTTCAAACTAAGATTACTTTTCTCCTGGTGTTAAATGGTTGACTGAAATAAAAACCAAACACCAAACTATTTGGAGACTTAACCCCTCACTTAACAACATTTCTGTATGAACTAGCAATTATAAAATCTGTTTTGACCTTATGCTGTCCAGACGGGAAAGTGGCTAGTGACTCTGACTGATTGACCGTAGAGCCCAGGTTTGAATCTCAGAGAAGGCATAAATGTAAATTGTCTGTCCTTTCATGGGAGGTAATGGTGGCTGCCTATTAGGTGCCTGTGCCTGCATAACAAAATGGCCACCACTTCTGGCCCTAGTAGTGACCAAAGCTTAAAACGGATAAGTACCCGCCATTTAAAAAAAGGGGGGAAGACGGTTATTTGGTGAATTTTTCTGTTATTTGCGATTTTAAAAAAGTTTTACAATAACAGTTTAATAATAATAACTGAATTGCTGATCACAATAAGGGGTGTATTTACCATGTTTTCATATAAAAATGAACGAGATTCCCACAAATCAATAACAATATCTTAATGATAACATTAACTGTAATCACATCAAGCATCATCTACTGTAAATCATAATTACATGCATACATAAAAATTCATATGAATAAAACACATTTGAAAAATATATTACATTTCTGCACTTATTCAGATTAAATATCAGTCATATCAAATTTTGCACAAAGTATCAAAGTTTTATATAATGCTTTATTTTTTCATTTATTAATTTTTACATCATAATACTCTAAAAAAGAGGGGACAAAAAGAAAGGAAGAAAGAAATTTTTATTACACAACAGTGCAAAGTTCAGCAGTCTTTTAAGCATATATATAATAACTAGAACGCCCGGCGGTCATACGAAATGACCTAGATATTATAAGTTCTGTTACCTAAATATTATAAGATTCTGACCTAGATATTATAAGTTGTAATTAAAATGATTTGTGCAAAGGTGTCTGCTAATTTAAACTGAATTACCCAGGGCAGGCAGCGAGGACGTCCCTTTGCTTACTGCCCCGTAGAGTTTCCCCCTTCTACTTCCTTAATTGCTTTAAGAAGAGTGGAATAAAGGAAACTACTGGTGGTACATTTCTCAAGAGCCCACCGCTAGCTTAAACAATAAAGATGATTTAAATAATGAAATGTCAATTCACATGTCAAAGATCTCTTTGTACACATTTCTTGTGTACATCTTTCCATCATTTTTAAGCTAGCCTTGCAGAGGGATATCATTTATTTTTAATTTCACAATGGTGGCCAAAATTGTGGACACTTTTGGAAATTTTTATGTTTTTGAACTTTGTATGCTTATAGGAAACATTATGTTTCACAAAATGCAAACTTGTATATATCATTTTAAAGAGAATTTATTACCGAATTCAATACAAAACACAAAATTCAATTATTTGCAATACAAAAAAAGTTAAACGATAATAGTTATCGATATACATTAGATAGTGATGATTGCAGTGAGTTATCAGTACTTAGTAGGGTCATAATACAGGGAAGACCCATCCTCCTAGTCCCACTGGACCATATGATTATAAAGGGTCGACCCCCTCAAGTACTTAGTAGGGTACCCTTTATTTTTGATTACAGCTTCACATTGACGTTTCATTGAGCTGACAAGAGTTTTAAGCTCTTCTTTCGTTATTACATGATGCCAGGAAACAATTATAGCCTCAATTAGTTCTCTTTTATTTGATGGGCGCCTCATTTGGACAACAGTTTTCAAACGGTGCCACAAATTTTCGATAGGATTGAGGTCAGGACTGTTTCCTGGTCATGACAACAATTTAATGCTCTTTGTACAAAACCACTCTTTCGATATTTTGGCCGTGTGGCAAGGAGCAGAATCCTGCTGAAAAATAAACGAAACATTGTTGGAAAAGATATCTCTGATGGAAAGTAGAAGTTTTGGTTCTAGAATAGTGTCAATGTATTTTCTGGCATTCAGTGTCCCATTGATGACATGAAGGCGACCAATACCATCTGCTGACATGCATGACCAACTGGTTTCATAACACTAACTGGGTTCTTCACAGTTGCTTGAATGCAGTCAGGATGTAACTCTTCTCCTATTCTACGTCTTACATATTTTCGCCCATCACTACCAAATAACGATATCTTAGTTTCATCACTCCATATAACTTGTGACCACTGATCATCTGTCCAATTAATGTGTTCCTTTGCCCACTGTAGCCACCCTTTGCCACTTCCTTTTTTTTTTTTTTCGTTGCTAAAAATTAAGATAAGGCTTTTTTTGTGGAATTCTACCTCTCAGACCAACATCTGTTAATCTTCTCCTGATTGTTCTTGAACTGACAGAAACACCAGCATCATTCAGATCATTTCTGATGGCCGCTGATGACATTTTTCTATCTTGGAGACATAGTCTCTTTATTCTTCTATCATCAATAGATGTGGTGCACCTTTTTCGGCTTTTTCCTTCTTTGTATTTTACTGAATTTGTCTCCTGATATCGTAAACAAAACTTTTGGACTCCAGATGTAGTCACTGAACCACCCACCTGTCTTGCAATTTCAGCATAGGAAAGACCACTTTCTCGTAACACAATAATATCACATCTCTTTCTAGGTGTCCAATCTACTCTTTTATTTGATGTCATTGCTTCTTGACTAAATATTAAAATTTTTTACAAAAATTCCTACTTGTAATTGCAGTGTATAAGAACAGGTCCTCCTCATACAGAAGAAAGCAAAATAATGAATTGTTTCAAGTGTAAACGAGAACAGTGATTGGCCAGGAAAGCTAGACATTACAAACCACTTCATAACTGTGTTTTTTATTTATATTATAAGTACATATAACTTTTTTTTTGTATTGCAAATAATTGAATTTTGTGTTTTGTATTGAATTCAGTAATAAATTCTCTTTAAAATGATATATACAAGTTTGCATTTTGCGAAATGTAACATTTCCTATAAGCATACAAAGTTTAAAAAGTTCCTCGTATTCCAAAAAATTCTCCGAATCCATTGATACCATTCTCATCTTCATACGACACTAATCAGCCAAAATATTAATTAAAAACTGCAGAAACATTAACTTCTGCGCTCATTTTTCTGAGTGGCAACAATATACTATCGCGACACACACTTAGTGTGCTTATATATATAAAGATGAGTCAAAGGGAAATTTTATTGCAATGAAAAGAAATCTTATTTTAATGTAGCATCAATAAGTAACATATTAGTGAATTTAGATGGGAATAAGAAGAGAAAAAAAAAAAAAAAAAAAATTCTAAGCATTTACCATCAGAAGTGATAACTCAGTTTTAGAAAGAAGCATAACTTTAATAGACTTTGGAACAGTTAAATGTCATTATTTAGTGAATTCTTTAGCCAAGGAACCCATACATGCTATTAGTGATTATGAGATTGATGCTCCAGGTTCGAGAAAAAAGGCCATTTCTATTATGTGTAAAAATATACTAGAGTCTTGGATTACACGAGGGATGAAGTCTAACAGAAAAAACAGTTTTTCACATTTTTTAAAAGTGAAGAAGAAAATTAAAATCATGAACAATATCGACTTCAATCAGCTTGTTATAGGCCATGGTTGCTTACCAGAATATTTTTTGAGATTTGGTGTCCAGGACAATCCATTCTGTAAAATTTACATAGTATGTGATAACATGTATTTCCTAGAATCATGTGAATTAATTCAAGATAAAAATAATTAATCTGAAAGAATTTTGAAATCTCCAGCGAATGTGACTATTACTCTAAGGGAAATATAAAAATTACACAGGATATTATGAAAATTATTAACAATAAGAAGGATAGGATCAGAATTCAAAGTTAGAGTCCTTTTCCTCCTTTTTTTTTTTTTTTTTTTTTTTAACATGTGTGTTGTGAGGGTGTAATATGTCTGTGCTTCAGATTATATGTTTTGTTTTTCTCATTTTTTATACTTTCTTCCCCCACCCCCTCTTTAATGCTTCCTCTGGTGCAGCCCATTTTCAGCTATTAAGTGAATTTACATTTGCTAGGTGGGCTGGGCTGAACCCAGATTCTAACTAATTAACAGTTAAATGACAGACTGTTAAAATACAAAACAAACTCATTATAAGGATTCATACAACATACATACCAAAAGTCAAGTCATTTGAAGTACTCTATTACAATATCTCAACGAATTGCACAAAATGTTAAAGCATCTTATTAAGCCTTAAAATGTCAACTAATAAACTCAAAAAATTTATAATATTTTAATATATTAAGTTAACACACTTGTAATTCATGAGACTAGCTGATAAATAAACCCACCTGATTATTCAGTACAAGCAGAAATTTTATACTTAAATTTAAATTACTAATTTCTTATTCTAGCAGTTAACCCAGTGATATGATAGCATAGTGATTCAGAATTTTCAACAGGTTATGAAATTTATGCAAGAAAACTATTGAAAAAAATTCTATAATAAATTTTGGAATAATATATGAAAATGGAAATAACAGCTAGTAAGCAAATGGAAGATTAAAATTGAAAATAACAAAAACATTGCCAGGAATAATAGAATACAATCCTCTTACAATTTTCCATCATCTTTAAATGGAATATAAAAAAGCTGTATCTCAATATTAGATTGTAAAAAAAAATTTTAAGCATAACAAAGAAAGTAGCTCTTATTACTTACTTATTATTAGTAGCTCTTACTGAAATTCCTAAACATTTAAATTCAAAAGAACTCCAAAAATAAACCAACTAAACTGATTCCAAATTTCTTAAGCAGTTCTACTTATTCTTTTTCTAAAGTATAGGCGAAAAGTAATGGGATACTTGAATACCCAAGAACAGTTAGTTTTAAGCTTTTTCATGAATACACTTTCTGAAAGCATCTGACATGTTATCAAACTAGTGAGAAATTGTATATGTACTAACTTGGATACAAAAGGAAATCTGACGCATATTCTTAACTTGAATTTTAAAGTGTAATGGTCCCAATACAAGGGCCTGCTATTGGTCACATTTATGCCTTTTCTTATAGATTTGATGACAGAGAGGCAAGTAGCACAGAAACACAATGTGTCTAAGATTAAAGTTTTGTGCAGAATGATTTTGTTTCAGTTCAGATTTGGCCCCTCTTTCCTTAATAATAAGATTTGGTTCCTAAACCTGAAATCATTATTAGTTGAAGTATTAAGTAAGCATATGCATCATGAGCATTATACAAGAATTATAGGTACTTCCTTATTACAGCAGCTCCTAAAATTTAATCACGAAATCAACTGAAATGTTACATTTAGCAAGGCATAAGAACATATGGTGTGATACCTAAATATGTGATATTTGGACTTTGAGATGAAGTGATTTGATTTTTGGAAATCCAAAGTCAGATTGAATTGTATGTGGAATTCTGAAAGCCAAGTGTTTAAGTTGTATTGGCTTATCTGATATTTTTGATTCGTTGAATTCATTTAACTTATTATCAGCTGATAAATTGCAACTTAACATAAAATTTTTAGCCATAAAATTCCTGTTTTTATAAATTATTTGGAATCTTGGAAGAAGCATGTTTAAGGAGGTTTTTAAGGATACAGATATTAAGAATAAAATATCAAATCATTTGCAGTACCTCAATGATGAATTTAAATATTACTTTCCTAAGTCAAGTGACAATAATATTTATAAATTGCGGACAGATTCTTTTCATGTTGACATAGATGTGCCGCCAGAAACACTACAAGAGCAAGCTTTGGAAATTAAAAATTATTCTGTAGGCAAATAGGACTTTGAAAAGATTGGTAAGCCACTATATTTTGGGTAAAATACCTCAACATTTATCCCACCATACCAGAGCAAGCATTACAACTGTACATACTGTTTTAAAGCACTTACTCAAGGAAACTCAGTATTGCTACCGGTATATATTGCACACTTTCTTCTGTTTACCCAAGTATTGAATATCTTGTCAAAAATAAGCAAACACAACGGTCTCATAGATTTATTAGTTTTTTTCTTACCAAATGTGCCTGAAACAACATATTTTTATAATAAAACCTTTATAAACTATTTTTTGTTTTTATTACCCTTATAAGTAAGTAATATTATTACAGGGGAATGGGGGTGCAGGAATTTCCATTTTTGGCAGGAGGGAGGCATGGAAAAAAAATCTTTAGGAACCCATGACTTAGAGAGAGATAGTTTAGATTTTCTGATTCGTTTTACAAAACTGAGGTAATTTAATACCAACATCATATAAATTAAATATAAAACGTGCATATACATATATAGCATTATATATAGTGCATTAAATATAAAGAGAGATGAAGCATAAAATATACTGATTGAATAATGCTAATTCTTACCATTTTTGCTAATATCCAGCTGTTCTAAATTAATCAATGATGCAATAGCTGGAGGAAGAGTTTGAATCTCGTTGTCACTTAAGTTTAATTTTTTTAGGCCATGGCAGTGGAATAAAGGCTGAAATAAAGTATTTTCATTAGCAACTCAATGATCTCAGAATATAAAAAGAAAATTAATTATAATAAAATGAATAGCTAAATGCATATAAAATAACATTTGGTCAACATTTGGAACATTAAGTCAACATTTGGAAGAATATAATCAATGGATTCTAAAACAATAATAACCAGAGTCCGAATTTTTAGGTCACTGAAAATGACCTTGAAAATGGCTGAAAAAAACACCCTTAAAAATAAAAAAATAATAATATAAAAATGATACAATTGATAAATATTGGCAAATGGATTAAAAACTTACACATACCTGAATTTTTTTACACATACCTGAATTTTTTTACACATACCTGAATTTTTTTATATTTTCTTCTGAATTCTAATTCTTGCACAAATGTATTACAATTGCCCTGAATTATTAAGAGCTTCTTGATGTTTTATAAACTGAAAGAACTTCTGCTGTCAGTTTATAAGTTTTTATATCATGCAAATCTTATCTCGACATTGACTGCTGTTACCGGAGCATACTTGAAAAAAACTGTACCACTTATAGTTAACTCTTCTTCAGTTTCAAAAGAATATGCTTCTTCTGTCAAGCTGAGAGATATTTTACGCATAGTTTGGAAGCCACAGTTAACAGCAAATGCAGTGTTTGAAACATTGGCTTTTTTTTAAAATATCATCTAATTTATATTATATATTCATTAATTTATATAAAGTTCCATATTTAACTCTTGTTAGGATTTAATAGTTGAAATTAGCGAGATTTTATCTGTGTAGTAAACAACCTGTGCAATTTGAATCAAAGAAGGACTTTACCATTTGACGCCCTCCAAAAAAAGGCTTTTACAGAGATAGAAAAAAAACATTGTACACAGCTGTGAGTGTGTAATTCCATGTAAATGTCTGTGGAGTCTACATCTATATACCGTATTTGACGGCATATAAGACGCACCCTTATTTAGACGACCACACACAAGGAAAAAAGTTTCAATAACGTGGTTTCTTTTAGTTCTCATGTTTCGTAAAAGCCAAATAAACAATTATTGAATGCAATTACCTTCATGTATAAGACGCAGGTAACTTTTTTGAGACCAAATTTAGGAAAAAAAGTGCGTCTTATATGCCGTCAAATACGGTAATCCTTTTGGGGGGTGGCTTAAATGTTACTGTCCTTTGATTCAAATTCTGTTTTTTCCACGATAAAATTAAATCTTGCTAATTTCGACCATTAAATCCTAATAAGAGCTAAATATGGAACATGTTAATGCAATGAATAACATTGATAAATTAGGTGATGTTCTAAAAAAGGCCAAAGTTTCAAATACTGCATTTGATGCTTAAGACTAAAAACTGCTTTCCCAACTATGCAGAAAATATTGCTCAACTTGACAGGAGAAGAAGATTCTTTCGAAACTGAAAAAGAGTAAACTATAAGTGATACAGTTCTTTTCAAATATGCTCCAATAACAGCAGTTGATGCAAAGAGTTAAGAAAATGACAATAAGGAAAAATTCTTAGAGTGACATGCGTATCTTGTGGAAAAAGCACGTTGAGATGGATAGCACTAACAGATTACATAATTAGTTTTCTGCAAAACATGCCAGACTAATAGAAATGAGTTCATAGGAGAACTGTGTTACTTCAAGGATAACTTTTTTTTTTTTCAGTTTGATCATTACAATATGCCTCAAAATGCTCTGAAATGTCCCAAAACTTAAAAAATGCTTTTAAAAGAGGAAAACACTTAATACATACATTCTCAAAATATGGGCCTTGATTATAATCCTTTATGATTTACCAGAATTTTAGTTTTCAGATGACCAAACCAGTAATAACTGCAACAGTACCAAGTAATAACCAACAAGAATTGACATGAGTAAATTGGTAGAATTATAATTTCGAAATTTAAATAGAAATAGAAATCGAAATTTAAATCCTTTCTCAGATGTGAGGATAAAAATGATGAAATAAAACCTACATGTGGACAAAACCAGCAGATAAAAATTTGTGTATTTCATTCAACTGAAAGTAAATGAAGCAACCACCTATCGCCACCTATTGACCAAAATGCAAAAGAAAAACAAATAAACTATGAATTCATGAAATACGGTAAATAAGGGTTAGAATTGGGATAATTCATTAACCAAAATAAAAGATATTCATGGAAAAGAAATGCCTCTAGAAAATCTAATTCATCAATGGAAGACATGCAGCATAGCACTGCATGTTTAGAATTCTGATACAGCAAAGTATTTGCATACATTTTTCTCCTTTTTTTTTTTTTTTTTTTTTTTTTTTTTTCCAATCTTTCCACAGTTCATCATATCAATGTTCAGTTTTCTTATTAAGATGACTTTGAAAACTTTTTTTTTGTCTTTTTATTATTAAAACTTTGTGAATTACTTTATTTACTAAATAGAATGGTCTTGGTGCATATGCCAGATAAAAATTTGATTCAACAGTAAAATCATGAAATATTTAAAAACAGCATATCTTTAGAAATTCCGATACAGAGTCTCCTGTGCTGGACATAAAAACGTTTTTTTACGTACAGTGTTGCCACTGATCGCTTTGATATCCTTTATTAATCAGAATGCACTAAATTTTTACAAAATATGAAATAGATACTAAAACAAATTCAAAATTTGGGCTTCCAGGTGTGCATGTTCAAGTGGAGAACAATGTTATTCAGAATTTGATGGCTCTAAGTACCATCTTTTTTTCACAATGCGAGAAATATGGATACATTCATGCAGATTCTTTATTATTTAATTTCTTTAAATATAATACAGGATGATAATATTTGGTGGCAATAACTTGAAAAGTGATACGTCGCTTATACTGATTGAAGGCAAAATGCAGTTCCAAGACTAATATCCCATTTGGGACTAACATCCCTTTAAGAACTTTATTCCACCTAAAGTGGGGGGGGGGAATTCAAAAGCATAGATATTATCAGGCAAAGCACTTGACAGCATAGATAATATCTGCCAAAAGGAAGAGATCCCTTCATGAAAGAACGTTAAAGGAAAACTGGCTTGTATCCATGTTATATATTGGGAAAGTCACCAAAATGCTCATGTAGCCAGTCTGTTTACCTGCAATTGAGCCCAGGTCAAACTACCAGTGTTCAACAACTTTACTACTCAACCAGTAGTGGACTATAAGCCATTGGTATATATTTTAAATTCTACTGTCCCTCCTGCTATAGTGTAATCCTTTTTTATATAAATCATGTTCGTAATAGAAATGATGTAAGATAGTTGATTAACCAATGGCCAGCTTACTTATGGAAAGAGTAAAATAAAAATGTTTAACTGTATATCCTTGTTTATATTTATTTTATTAGTGATGCTCCCCATAGTCAAATCTCCTTCTGGAATTCCAAGTGTCTTCGAAAACTTAAACATTTTATTTGATTAAAAAAGATACATTAAAAATGTATCTTTCATGTATTTACGGTTAAAAAGATTTCAAAATTAAAATACTCAAAGGAAATAAGTATTTTTATATTAATATGAAATTAATTAAATACACCAAATGAAAAAAGATCTTAAACAAGACAAATCAGAAAAAATATATATATATTAAAATACACAAAATGAAAAAAATCATAAACAAGACAAATCAGAAAAAATTTGGCTTGTCTGACAGATTCAATTCTTATTGATTTTTGTGATATTTCATTATGTTTTTAATCTTACCCTTGGAAGATCTTTAATTTGATTGGCATCTAGAAACAGCTCTTCTAATGTTCTTTCAAAACCGAACACCTCATTTGGCACATCTTCAAGATTGGAATGACTGTAATCTAGTAATCGAACATCATCGTTCTCAGGACGGAGGCAAGGACAGTGACGGAGCACTGGGGCCATCCCACCCTAAAACAAAAATGATTTAATTTTACACATTTTCATTCAATTTCTAGAATGCTTCCACTAATAATTAAATGATGATAATCAAATAAATATAAATTAAGTAACATACATTTAAAAAGACAGTTTAAAAAACTTCACATCTTTCTCAGTAATCAAACTTGGTATCCAAATTTAATCCTACAGGACTTAGTTAGATCTTTAATATAAAATGTCTCAAAATACTTCTGTATTATCTGTGATACATTCATTTTGATTTTATGGTCTTTATATCCAGGATAAGTGAGATCAGAGTCTCATTTCTAATTTGGAAGGCTGACATTATATATTATTCAGATATCTTTGGTGTGCACTTTTTCAAATGATAGACTAAAAATATTTATTCATTATGCTTAAAGTTAAATTATATTTAGATTTAAATATCATATACCACATATTTACCACTGAAATACAGACTAGTATTTATTTACTTTCTACACTTTATGTGATGGAACCACTGATAAGCCATTAAAAACTGAGAATTAAGTCTCATTCCATTTTCTTTTCAAAAATCAGGTTACCGCCAAAAGCACCCCAAAACTGAGCATTTGAAAGATCGGTCCTGGAAGTATCTTTGATGTGGATAGTAATATAATAATTTAATTAATAAATAAAAAGGAAAAAATAAATAAAAATTTTTAAAAATAATTTTTTCTTTATAAATAATAATAATAATAAAAACTATTACTAAAATAGTAAAATTACTAGTAGTAAAACAAAATATAAATGCAAAATTACATATATTAATGTATCCATTCCATCAAAGTTACATACAAAAATTACATAAATTTAATTAGACAAATAATAAGCTACTTTAGTTTGTTTTGATTGTCAAGAATAACATTTTCTCATATTTTTCTAATGCATAAAAACGTTTTCTGGAACATTTTCTTCTAACTGAAAACCACGATGTAAAGTATCAAATGCATTTAACATATCTTCTGGCAAAGATTTTGTGCCTTCATTTTCAGCTGCCCAGCAGGTATAGTAGTTAGCGTCGCTGACTGACGTGCCGAAGGGCCCGAGTTCCAATCCTGGAGACGGTATGGATGTTTGTAAATGTATAGCGTCCGTGCGGCATAAGGTCGTGCACTCTAAATATGCAACAAGCCGTAAGTCCTCTCGGGAGACTGGTGGTAGGGAAAGAGCGGTAGGAGATCCTCGGACCCATACCCCTAGGGTTCTCTCCAACAAAATTGGAGGGCGGTCTTGAGCTAAATTTGCACTGTCACCTGTAAGGTGTTCCCAATGGCAGGCGTAAGCCTGAGGCGCTCCTTGCCCCGAGGAATTCCATGGGCTTGGGCTGACTATAGGTCAGACAAACGAGCATTAGAAACAATTTTCATCATCATCAATGGCTTTCTGGCTGCTATTTTTTATGCTCTCCAATATGTCCTCTTCAGCAGAGTTCCTGAGGTTTCAACATCGCTACCTATAAATAAATAATTTGGTAATTCTTTATTTATACTATTTTAATTGTCCTTGATTTTTCAATTGCAACCACGCATTATTCATTTCCTTATCTAGCTCATCGCCGTCGTTGACACTACTATTTATCATGACTATTATCACCATCACTTATCATTATTATTGACTTTATTATTATCACTATTACTGACACTATTATTATCGGTAATATCAATCTTGATGATGAAGCCAGCTTTCTGAAAACAATTGCAAACATTTTTTTCAGTGACCTCATTATTCCATACTTTTCCACGTTCAGATACGCAGCTATTACACATAAAGACTGATTGCTTTCAATTCTATTAGAGCTTTCTTCAAAATTCTTATGTGATAATGCGTCTAAACACATTTTATCATGCCACAGTGGTATTTGGAGGAAAGAAAGAAACTTAACATTTTTACAGTTGAGTGATATCCAGAGAATGAGAATTACATTATTTATCACTGGAGCAATTTTCTGCTTCTGTAGAGCCACATATTTATTTAAAATTTTTAGACACTTTTCAAAAATGTCTGAGGTCATCCATAAATTCTTGTTGAAATCATAATCTACATTCACTAATTTAATACATCTAAAACATTTTGGATTTTTACTCTTTCCTATAAGTAAAGATTTTAGTTTTTCATTTCCCTCATCATCTTCATAAATATCTTTGCTTTAACCACAAATGATTTTTGCAACTACTTTACAACTCAACATGTCTTTTCTTGAATTTCTCTGGCAACCCATTGCTTGCATGAAAAATCACTTTGTCCTTATGCTTTGGCATACTTGGTAGCTTTTTCCAGTATCAATGGCCCTGATACCGGTATATTTTTTCCTCTCACTGAGAGCAGCTATTTTTAACATTAGTTCATGAACATTTTCATGAACGGCCGTTTCTTTACGTTTGGCCCTTAAATCGATGAAATCAAAGGACTTTAATTTTGTCCTGAATTATCAAGATTACCAACAAACTACTTTGCAAAACAACGAAATTTGTGGTAATGTCTTTCTTCTTTATACTTTTGTCCACTTCGTGGAAATGAGAGTTATTTTAGTATCTAATGTATTTTCTCCCTCCTTTTACCCTGCCTTTGTGGTGAAACGTTAGCACACTCAGTGCGTATTCGAAAGGTCTAAGGTACAAGACCCGGCGAGGGGCCCATCTCCTACTTTAGGAGGGGGAAAAAAAAAAAAAAAAAAAAAAAAAAAAACCTAATGACTCTACAAGTGTTAGACACCTTTCGTTTCAACATTTTTATCATCAAATATACAACTAACTTTAAAAAAGGATTTGCATTATAAAGCCATGAAAAGCAGAACTAAAAATAATGTGCAACTGGTGCTTAGCCTTTAAAGTGGTTTGCAAAACAGGACTGCTTAAGGAATTTTTAACATGCCAGTAGATAAATCCTTTCTCCCCCCACTTCATTCCCCATGTACTCGTAGAATGTAATTTGAGAAGAGGTAACCTAGCTACCTACTCTTTTAAAGGACCACAGCTGCACGAACATACGTGTCACAGCAAACGAATTAATGCTTTTAAAGTAGAAAGGAAAATCTCGAAAAAATCACCCATTCAAAATCTTCGCTAACCTTCGCTATTTGGAGTTTTTATACAAGGCAATTCACACCTCGGGTCGAATTCTGTGAAAAACTTCACTAAACAGAGGAATTCGTGAAGGAGGATGTTCATTAAATCGAGTTTTGACTGCAAGTACACACATGAATATAAGCTAGTGATTTGATACAGATGAACGTGTTAAGAGACTAATGAGTTAAGAAATGAAAGGAGAAAGAGAAACGAGGAATACTCCTCCCCTTATCTGGTACATGAGACCGAGACAGGAGGGCAATAAAGGCTCGTTTACACGAGAATTATATCCAAAAAAGCATCTCTCATTGTCTGCGGCACCTGCACCAGTTCTTCTACATGGGAAAACAAATGAACGGCGCGCCAAAGATGTCTTCAGCACTCTCACAAGGTGTATTTAATTACGGCAAAGCACACTAGGGCTATCTGCCTAAGGGGAGGGATGCCTTCGTGGAGGACTCTAAGGGCAACTGTCTTGTATACACGTTACACATGGGGAAAACCACGAAAACGCCTATGCAGCCAGCCCGTTCGCAGGATTCGAAATAGTGTGTGTGAAAACTACCAGTGTTCAGCGACTTTACAGCTCGGCCGCTAGTGGGCCGCACTCTCACAAGGAATCATAATCATTGAGCATGACGGAATACAATGTTGCTGGAGATGTATTTGAGGACAGCCAATAAAACTGCGTATAGAAATCATGTGTCTGAAAAACTAATGCCGGCTTCTGAATCAGCGTTTTGCTCAGTAACAACATATGCCACGAAATGTTTAGTGTTGGATATTATTTTAATGAACTTCATTCTGATGTAACATTTATTTCGAAGCATAACTTCTGACTGATTTCTTTATGAATGATTGAATACATTTTTTTCACCTTGATACAAGTGATTTATTATTGTAAGCTATAGAGCAACATATTTTTAACCTCATTTGTTAGCAACTAAATCTACAAGAACTTGTTTACTTGTTTAATGGGATAACAGTATTCTTAAATCTAAGAAGTCTTCAAACAAGAAAAGTCTAATTTATCATTTGTTGGCACATATTTCCGATTTCATATTGTTAGTGATTTTTCGACTTGTAGGTTAGCTCTAGGTAGCTCGATCACTTTGCGTATTCACCAAAATACAGACATTTCTGTGGGCCATCCGACTGCAGATTCTAACTGAGCTAATTTCTGGATTATTCACTAAAAACAAATAATTTATTATTTCTGTAATTAACAGAATTTGTTAAAAAATTAATAAAATTTTTATTTCTAATGTATAATAATTTTACGTTATTTTATTATTATATGTAAAATATAATACTTTTTATTTTAATTATTTATTTAATTACTATTTTGTATGAATTACATAAGTAATATTCACTAGATTTCTAAGTTATTTATAAAGAGCTAAACTTTCTTTTTCAACTTTCATATACCTAAAATGCACGCCTATTGTAAATCTACTTATCAGCAATGTATGTTATATTTTATGCTATGGATGAAGTAAACTATTTAATTTTTTTCTTTTATGTAAATGAAAGAATACATTGTTTTATATAAAGTATAAACTATGTGGAAATATTTATTTTTTGTAAAAAACAATTATAAATTCTTTGATTAGCATGAATGAATTCTACTGACAGCAGGAACGCAACAATGACAACGTGAGAGCCTAAGATCGGTGACGTGAATGCAATATTCGGCGACAAAACACCGCCGCATGGAAGATAAAAATATTTTAATTCAGGCAGTGGCAACACATTTCTTTTAAGTCACTGTGTTTATGAAATTCGAAAGACAAATATACTGCGAGTAGCAACACATTTGCTTTTATGTCGCCGAGTTTTCTGAAATATCTTACTCTTTGCAGAGAGGCAACATGAAGTTTTACAGATGACGGATGACATATAGCCTTATCGCGTTCTACTATA